GAGGGAGAGATGGAGACAGGGAGGGTGAGAGACAGAGAATCCCAAGCAGGCTCCATGCTATCAGCACAGAGCTTGATGCGGGGCTTGATCTCATGAACCGTGAGACCATGACCTGAAACAAGAGTCAGACACTAAACTGACTGAGCCACCCAGGCACCCCCCGACATTGAGTATTAATATGTTACATACCTCGATCATGTAGGGCTAACAAAACCCGTTCATATAAGCAGGCTCTGTAGAGGTCTCCAGGAATAGGTTTTCCTGCCCAGCAGTCAAGTTCAAGTTTCTCAGGGTCAGGGGCATGGGGATCAGGCTCAGCTAGAATATACCGATAGCCGTCTTTGTTAAACGGGTGTTCCAAGGGGTAGCCATGAGGGGGAAGGCGCTGAGCAGAAAACAAAGGATCACTGCAGAAAGGAAAAAAATAATATCAAGAAACTAAAACCCCCTTAGCTCAAATGGCTTCAATTCTTTAAGAAGGACATCTGATTTATTAGATTTCAGCAGGAACACATGCAATTTCACACATGCAATTGAGCAATTTTCATTGCTCAAACAGAGGATCCTGCCCTCTGCAGGTAAAACAGGGAAACAAAAAGCATCCGCTTTTAAATTTAGCAAAGTAGTTTTGGTCAAATTACTCTAGCCTGTAGGAATAGCTATGAAAAGGACGCAGTATGTCCTAAGGGGAAAGTAAGGAAGAAGGGGAACAAGGGTGATTTCCTTTATTATGTTAATTACTAAAACTAATGAACAGAAACTCAGAGATAAGACTGGGAGTACTTACAATCTTAAATAAGAAAAGACCAGGATTTACTGAATAAAGAGAAGGGAAGAGGCTTGAGGGCAGAGGCACACAGCTGAAGTAAAAGAGATAAAGTTCAATTCTTTCTCAGGATGTCTTAACAGCATTGAACTCTACTCCCCAGGCAATGCGCCCCAGGTGCTGCCCCAGCACTCCCCTAACAAAACAAATGTGTAAACTTCGATTCCCAGCCTGGCATTATTTTATCCCTCAAAGCGCTCAAGATTTGAGAAAAATGGACAGGCTTTTTAATCTCAGACACCTGAGCTACTGAAGAGTGCAGCTCTGTTCCCTCTGATGGGCTGTGCCAGCACCAAAGATGGCCTAACAGTGGTGAGTGCGAGTGGGTGTTTCTGCCCACCTCCGGGCCTTCTTGGTGGTCCCCGCGGTCCCTCCATCTTGCTGCTTGCGCTTCGCTCCTCTTCCTTTTCCACTGCTTCCTGCTGCAATTCCCCCTTTGAAGAGAAGGCAGATCACTTTCAATAAGCTGTCACAGAAGCTTCATGTGGATGTGGAAATTCCATGGTGACTAACGCTCCTGTTGTGCATTTGTGTAACACCACACACAGGAGGATTTCCTTCCTGAAAGCATATTGGGGTTTCACCCTGGTTCTGAGAGAGTCGGCTGAAGGTCTCACAGCTCAGAACATTGGGTTCTGGCAGTAAGCTCAAATGAACCTAGCACTAATGACACCTGTGTTACACATTCAACCTTCCTTTCTTAAGGAACTGCAACTACTGGTACACTTTCTGAGGATGTGACACAAATGCATTTTCGCGCATTCAGACTCCAAACACCCACATCTAAAAACAACTGCAAGGATAAAATCTGTTTTCCACCCAAATCAACACGAACACCCACAACGAATATCCTCACTACAAGTAGATGTTCACTCACTTGATCTATGCAGGATATATTCCATAAACATAATAAAGGCACAGTATCCGCTAAAGCACTTAACTTGAATACCCAACAAGACAAAGGTACATAAAACATAGAAAACAGAAACAAAAATACTAAAAAGGTGTTTCTCTCCAGTGCTGCTAGGTATCCACTCTGGTTGTTCATGACCCAAGTAGAAAGGCTTTAAATTTAGTAAGCAACTTTTACAATTAAGATTGTGCCAATGCATAAAATTCAGGTCAGACTAACCCAGCTTGTGGAATTAAGAGCGAGTATCAATAAAAAATTTACATATTTTATGCAAAAAATAATTTAGCAACGTACTAAGGCCACAAGGAATACTACCTAGTGATTTCTGAAATAGGTACTTTGAAGTTTTTGTACAGTTCTGTCTTTCCTCTCAATTTGTTTTTCTGTCAGAAAATGTCCGAACTGCAGGAAAACACCTTTATGGTAACAACTGCATAGAGTACTGTATCTTAATTTGGGGCAAGCTTGGAAATTCTCAGCAGTTCTGCTGGAATAAAAAGGATCAAGACATTGAGAGCAGGTCATATTCTGCATATACAGGACCAGATTGATGCAGAACTTCCTTTTATGAACACACCATGTATTATTCCTATTTTTCATTTTTAAAAAGGTTTAATGTTATGCTGTTGCAATATCAATTTGAGTTTGTGTTACCTTAAAAGACTATGGATTTCTTACTGTTATTGGTATTTTAATTAATTTGAAAGAGAAGTTTTAGAACCATCTTGAACAAGACGCACTATATTAAGGTGACTGCTGGCCATGTTAGGCAGAATATGACAACGTACAAGCTTTTAATTACTAACATTCAACTGGAACTATGGTTTCATATCAAGTGCTATTGCCATCATTTCACGATGCTTTAAAATTTTAATCTAGTTTTAGCTTCTACCACAACTCAGCAAAAAGCGTTTTCCAAACCACATAATACTTAAGTCTGAGAGGATGAAAGAAGACAGAGGAGGAATTCACCTCCAAAAGAGACTCCACCTGTAAGAACAGAAGTGGCACCATGTATTTGTCAAATTTTAACAATTAAAAAGGGAAAAAATGGTGTAAAAAGATAAACAATACAGTTAGCTATTTCCAACCCATCTCAGAATATTAGTGACAGTGGAAATGATTACACATTTAAGATGCTACTGCACCAAAGGACAAGTTAATGTTGCCAAGTGTTAGATGAATAGCTAGTTGCCTCCCAGCTACCCCGACCTTTGTTAGATTACCATTAGTAATAAAGTCCATTCCTGTCATTAGGTGGATTACTGACAGAAAAACATCTACAGCTAGTGATCAGTACAGAAACGCTGTCATGGGAATAAGCTGAAGTTTCAGGGCAAGAACAATTAGAAGATGGGCAGAGGAAGTCTGTTAAATAACAGCTGAATTAGCAGTAAGAGAGAACAACCAAAACCACACTGGGTGTCAGTGATAAGGATATAGATGGGGAGTCTAAGATAATAAGCACAGTAAATCTGACTTTAAACCTGTACTTTGTTTTATGCTAAATCTGTTTCACTTAAGACCAAACTGTGGTGTAAAGGAACAAACAGTTCTCCACTACCATCTGTCAAATCTTTGGCCAGCTTCACAAAACTGAGGTTTGGACTGTAAAGCATCTTTCTAAATATCCAGTTAAGAGTCAACCCAAAGGATGCCCAATTCTAGGCATATTTGGATCCAACAGCTTACAAATATTTCATCGAGACATTTAAACACTTACCATTTAGATTCCCGCTTGTAGACACAGCGCTGCTTTGTTTTTGGTTGTCATAAGCAGGACCAATGTTACTAAGATCCTAGAGGGAAAAACATTCAATTATAAAGGGAGGCTATATAATCAAACCTATCTGGCAATGCTCAAAAAACCAGGAAATCCTAGTAGAATGTGAATCAAAACTGACAATCCTAGGGGCGCCTGGGTGGCGCAGTCGGTTAAGCGTCCGACTTCAGCCAGGTCACGATCTCACGGTCCGTGAGTTCGAGCCCCGCGTCAGGCTCTGGGCTGATGGCTCAGAGCCTGGAGCCTGTTTCCGATTCTGTGTCTCCCTCTCTCTCTGCCCCTCCCCCGTTCATGTTCTGTCTCTCTCTGTCCCAAAAATAAATAAACGTTGAAAAAAAAAATTAAAAAAACAAAACAAAACAAAAAACCTGACAATCCTAAGAAGCCTGAAATTTACAGGGGTCCAAACCTGGATGCTTCAGAGATCAACAAGTAACATGTGTGAGGCAGGCCAAGTGTAAGGATCGAAGTTGTTAACAGTGAATAGGCAGGGGGCGGGGCGGGGGGGGGGGGGGGGGGGGGGGGGTGTTGGAGCAGGAGATGGCAAACAGGAGTGCATGAATGCTATTTTCTCAGCCCCCTGTGGGAATTCAGGCCCACTGTAATCAGATCTTCTCATTCTAGAAGAAAAGACAGAAATCTGAATTTCTGCCCCCAGCACATTAAGTTAACAAATGCTTGATTCATCTACCCTAAGAAAACTCTGGCTAACCTGACTGATTCACATGAGCCTGTTTTGTAGAGTCGCCTGACCACAGATAAGGGGAGCCAAGCAACTGCGAAGAAGGGACCAGGAGTGAACAAAAGTAACCTCTGTGAGGACATGCCCCAAGATCCCTCCACCCCACGTCATCATCCTTTATGCTGTCATTTTTTTAAGCACGCGTCCCATGAAGAGGCTTGATTCCTCAATGTGCACGCCCAGAAAGGAAGAGACCTCCTTTTGTCCCTATATCAAATCAGCATATTCCATTCAACCTACATACCACCCCGTGACATCCTGACTCCTACCGTTAAAGGCACCCAACCCACACCCTTTGTGAAGGCCGATTTGAGAAATTTTCTCCCATCTCCTTGCTTCGCACCCTGCGATAAAGCCCTTTCTGCTACAAAACCGGTGTCAGCGTTTGGCTTATGTGCATCATCCGGCAATGGGTCCTCACAGAGTAACATTTCTATGTGAAACCTTTAACTTTCAATGCTGGCAGATCAAACATTTCAAGGCACAGCTGAAAGATTTGGCCTCCTGAGATGCCAAATGTGACCCATCGAACAAAGAGTGGACATTTTCTTTCTCCTCAATTGTTCACCACAAATTTCTCTTAATAACACATTTTGAAGAGTAAAATTTGAGATGGGAAGAAAATTAGAAATAACTTGGCCCAGCATATTTGTGTTACAAGTGAGGAAATTAAAATTAAAAAAGATAAAAATAATATGCAAAAGGTTGTAATGTTAAGGGGAAGAACCACAACTAAAACACTAGTCTCCTGGTTTAAGGTAGGGGTTTTTCTCCCCACACATGACAATAACTGCTTACTTGGGGCTCACCACGTTAGAGGCCTGGAATGGCCTGCAGCAAACAGACAAATGTAAACAAAACCTGATTCTGTCTCCAAATCAAAAGGGGAATATAAAGTACCTGATCCAAAAGTCCAAATTTGGGGTAATCTTCTTCTGGGTCCTTACTCCCGGGATCAGGATGTTCCTTTACTAAGAATACATCTCTTTCTTTACTCTAAAAGGAAGCAGTATTTTAGCGTTACCGGAAATTTTATACTTCAAAGTAGTATCGAATGGATGATCAACGAGCAACTCCAATTCCTAAGTGTAATCTCCCCAAATGATAGTATTGCTTTTCCCTCTGATTAGAAAATACACGACCATCAAAAAATTCAAACAGAGGAACTTGAAGAAATGAGAGCCAAAGTCCTTTGGAATCCTCCCCTATCCCTCCACCTCACAGATATAAGCACTGTTAACAGCTTGCTGTGGCCTTCTCCCCAGGTACTCTCTTTAATTCTAAGGACAATAATGTTTAGAACAGTGTTGTTTTTGTTTTTAAATCAAAGGGAAAAACAGTCTGCCATGTCAATATAAATTATACTTGCAAAAGCACAGTGGACCAAGGTTCCCGTCGTGTATAAAACGACATTGATGTTCACTTCAGACACAACTTGGTGATTGTGCGAAAACTATTAAACTTTACAATCAGTGATACCTCACTGTCCAAGATTTAAAACTAAGTTGTTCTCATTTTCTTAGTCATCACGTTATTTCAGTGAGACTAAAACAGATTTAATACTTACAAAGAACACGGATTTTTGAAACGTCAAGTCTGATCATTTTGGTCTACTCACCATTGTTTTAACAATATTATTTGGCCAGGTCATTTTCCCAGGTCTCTGTCTGGTCGTCATGCACTCCCAGTATTTATCAATAAACGGTATGATATCCTAATTTTTTAAAACAAAATATATTAAGAGTTCTATAGTTGCTTTCAAAGTTATACTCACAAAAATGGAATGAAAACTGCAGCATTTTCAAAGAGCTTGTCAGAATCGAGAGAAAAATCCACGTTTAGTTTTTTCATGATTAAACAAATACATAATTGCATGCAAACAATATACAGATTGTGAGGAATTTCATATAAGTATATACAAGTCTTAGCCTCAGAAGGTTTACAATCCAGTTGGAGGGAAAGATCCACCCCATTCCCTTGGGTGACATTTGGACAATGACTCCCAAGTGATTCTCTCTCCTGAGCTCCTGTTTTACCTGCTTCTAACATCTCTATTTGGTCATCCCAAAGGCACCTCAAACTTCTTGTTACAAAACTAAACTTTGTATCTCAACTCATAAATCTGCTCTGCAGATCTCTATTCTTGCTCTTAATGCTCAGAATCACCTACCTCCTAGAATCACAAGCTAGAAGCCAAGGGCATCATCCTTGATTCTTCTCTTGTGCACAACCATCACATCTAAACCGACACCAAATGAATTTTAAGATTTCAGAAAATTTCTCACCCATCAGGTCTCTTCTATCCCCACTGCTCTGATTATTATCCTCACCAGTTCTTGCTGACATGACTAAATAGATATCTGAGCTTGACCTTGACATCGACCTTCCCCCACTGTCACCATTCTGCCAAAGTCCATCAGAGTTAGAGTCTACCACCAAAACCTTCCACCGCTTAGTTCCATGAAATGACAACCAAATCTTTACCAAAAGGAACTATTTGGAGTGCCTGGCTGGCTCAGTCAGTGGAGTGTGTGGCTCTTGCTCTGAGGTACAAATTCAAGCCCCATGTCAGATGTAGAATTTACTCAAAAAAAAAAAAAAAAAAAAAAAAAAAAAAAAAAAAAAAAAAAAAAAAAATCTTTAAATAAATAAAAGGAACCAGGGTCAAATCAGGGAAAGTAGAAGGGAAATCTGGAATATTCTCTTGTTCCAGAAAGTAAGGAAGAGTTCAAAAACCCATAGGGACATATCAAAAAGTGCAGGCATCAGACTCAATGGGGATATACTGATCAAATCTGAGCACCAGAAATCAGAAATCCACAAATTGGGGCATCTGGGTAGATCATTTGGTTAAGCCTCCAACTCTTGAGTTCGACTCAGGTCATGATCTCACAGTTGGTGACATCAAGCCCTGCGTCAGGCTCTGCACTGAGGGTGCAGCCTGCTTGGCACTCTCTCTCTCCTTTTTCTCTGCCTCTCCACCTCTCTCTCTTTCTCTCTCTCTCTCTCACTCTCTCTCCCTCCCCTTGCCTCCCCACTCTCTCTCAAAAATAAACAAACTTAAAAAAAATAATCCACAAATCTGCAGGGATACTTTAAAAAAAAAAAAAAAAAAGATGGACAGAAAGGAAAACTCTCTTAACAGAAGAATTGCAAGTAACAAATGTATTCTTTTTCACAATGACCACTCTATTAACTGATTCAGGCTAGGATAATCAGGCTAGTTGCTAAAACCATTGCTTGAAGGGGTCCCAATGAGACATTTACACAATCTCAACACATCACCACACAGACTGCTTAATAATTACAAAGACAAAAGGTCCCTTTACAATGGAGAAATCTGATAGATACCTCCTCTTTACCCAAGTAATCAAATTTAAGGTCATTAATAATAAAACAAACCAGTATTTTATGCCTCCTGATGTGATACAAGGAAAAAATACACTATACATACATTATCTACATAATATTCTTGCCAAAAATGTTTAACCTGAACTCTATCATGGGGAAACAATCAGATAAATGCAAACAGAAGAATCACGCCAAACAACTGTCTGGGCTCCCCAAAATTTTAAATGTCATAGCAGACTGGGGTGCCCGGCTGAGTCAGTTGGAGAAACACACAACTCTTGATCTCGGGGCCATGAGCCCCACATTGGGTGTAGAGATTACTTTTTTTTTTTAATTTTTTTGGGGTTTATTTATTTTTGAGAGACAGAGAGAGAGGACGAGCAGAGGAGGGGCAAAGAGAGAGGGAGACACAGAATCTGACACAGGTTCCAGGCTCTGAGCTGCCATACAGAGCCCAATGTGGGGCTTGAACTCACGGACCGTGAGATCTTGACCTGAGCTGAAGTTGGATGCTTAACCGACTGAGCCACCCAGGCATCCCTGGGTGTAGAGATTACTTAAATAAATAAACTTTACAAAGAAATAAACTTTATAGAGAAATAAGTAAATAAATGTATGTCACAGCAGACCAAAAAAACAAAGTAAAATAAATTCAGGAACCATTTTAGATTAAAGACAAAAAAGACATTACAGGGCACCTGGCTGGCTTGGTTGGTAGAGCATGCAACTCTTGATCTCAGGGTTGTGAGTTCCAGCCCCATGTTGGGCATGGAACCTACTTAAAAAAAAAAAGAGCAAGAGAGACATTACAACTAAATGTAATGTGCAATCTTTGCCTGGATCCTGGATAGAGAAAAAAAAGCTATGGAGGATATTAAAATGATAATTAACAATGAGAAAATATAATTATATACTTTATATAAAAAATAAAAACTATATATTAGTAGTATTACATCAACATTAAGTTTTCTGAGTATGATCACTGTACTATGGTTATGGGAAAATACTGGGTATAGTATTCAGTTTAGTCTCATATAACTTAGGGAGATAAAGCAAATGCAGTAAAATATTAATAACTGGCAAATCTAGGAAAATAACTAACAGATGGTTCACTGTACTATCTGAATTTTTCTATGTTTGAAATTTCAAAATAAGAATTTGGGAGGAATAAAAAAACCAGAAAAAACGCAAATCTAATCATAACACATCTCTACTGCAGGAATAAAAAGGAGGTGAGAGGGCTGTCTGACTACTCCAGCCTGCAGGATTAAGTCCTAACTTCTATTCAGTAGAAAAGCCCTTACAGGTCTGATCCCAACTATATTGGTCTCACCATATGCCAGTGTCTTTCAAACTGTAGATTGCAATCTATTAGTAGGTTATAAAATCAATTCTGTAAGTCAAAACTAGCACTGACTAGAACAGAAAATAACAATGCAGAGGAAAAAGAGTGGAGGGTAAGCACTGTTCAGTGAAAAAAAATTTTTTTTCAAGTTTATTTTGAGAGAGAGTATGTGTGCACACACATAACAAGGGAGGGACAGTGAGAGGGAGAGAGAGAATCCCAAGCAGGCTCTGTGCCGTCAATCTCACAGACCACCTCACAGACTGTGAGATCATGACCTGAGTGGAGATCGAGAATCAGAAGCATAACCAACTGAGCCACCTAGGCACCCGTGTTTGGTGAAATTTTTATTTATTTTTCAAGATTTTATCTTTTATATTTTTTGAATTTTTAAAAATATTTGTTATTTATCTTTGAAAGAGAGAGCGTGAGTGGGGGAAGGACAGAGAGAAAGAGAGGGAGAGAGAATCATAAGCAGAGAGAATCCACACTGTCAGCACAGAGCCTGACGTGGGGCTCGATCTCTCAAACCATGACATCATGACCTGAGCAGAAATCAAGAGTTGGATGCTTAACTGAGCCACCAGGGACCCTTAAAGATTTTATTTTTAAGCAATCTCTACCTACGCCCAACATGAGACTCGAACTCAAGATGCTCTACTGACTGAGCCAGCCAGGTGCCCCTTGTTTCAGCTTAAATGAAAGTGGGCAGGTATGAATGTATAGTAGGCATAATGTAAACTCCATCATTCTAAAATTTACTTAATTTTCATATTTTCTTACCGTGAATCACAGTAGGAAAGACTCATGGGTGGGCTAGTCGTCTAATTTTGAGTCCTGACTTCAGTTGTGTGGTTTTGCAGTTTAATAATAAAGGATAATTCGTTTAAATAAAAGGCATATATAAACCTACCCCCTTCCCTCTGACAAAATCTATAATAATCGTCTATAAAAATAGTTAAACTGTGCTGAGAAGGTTCAGCTCGAGATCTGATTTTTTTTCCTGGTTAAGTTTATTTTTGAGTAATCTTTATGCACAATGTGGAGCTCGAACTCAAGACCCTGAGATCAAGAGTCACATGCTGTACTGACTGAGCCAGCCAGGCACCCCCTCAAGATTTTTTTTTTTTTTTTTAAGTTTGAGAGAGACAGAGATAGCGCCAATAGGGGAGGGGCAGACAGAGAGAGGGAGAGAGAGAATCCTAACCAGGCTGTCAGCGCAGAGCCCGACATGGGGCCAAAGTCACAAAACCGTAAGATCATGACCTGAGCCGAAACCAAGAGTCAGACACTTAACCAACTGAGCCACGCAGGTGCCTCAAGATCTGATTATTAATTGGGGGATAGACAGTTGTTTGCTTCTATAAAGCCAACCAAAACTATTTAAGGATTCCCCCAACTAATAATTTAGCCAACTGACATAATGTGCACATATTAGAAGTTAGTAAATCACATGAAATCAGTAACAACCACTGAATCTACAGTCATATATTCATAAAAATTGGGGGCAAAGTACTCATTGTTAAAGAGTATATTTAGATGTTCTACCAGATTCTTTGGCATAATTGCAATTACATTAATCTCTTCTCTACCTTATCTTTGGAGAACATGGTTTTTGGATGTTCATCTTGTGTTCGAGACTGCCAAGTTAGGTTGGCCAAAGCACTAAGGCACATTTCTTTCAAGTCTGTTAAAAACAAAAAGGAAGAAAAAATTATCTATAGTATTATAGTCATGTTACCTAAAGGATATTCAACTAGGTGATCCACAAGTTAACAATTATAGCAGCAAAAAAATAAGAGTCATGATTTTACCTGAAGTGGACCATAGCCATTATTTGGAGCTAAACTCCAATGTTACATAACTTTTACCGGCTACTAGGCAGGAGTTCCCTGATCCTGCTAAGCCCAAATCTCTTTTCTTTTGCAGCTACCCAGAGGACAATTTTGCGGCACTCGTGAGTTTGTTCTTACTTGCTTGCTTCCGGAGGAAATAGGTATTCCCACTATGATGGCACACGTTGCAATGAAAACTGTAGTTGGTCATGAAAGGCAGACAGGATCTGCAGAACAGCCAGATTAAAAAATCAGTGAACTTCTAAATACACACTTCTTGGGGCGCCTGGGTGGCGCAGTCGGTTAAGCGTCCGACTTCAGCCAGGTCACGATCTCGCGGTCCGTGAGTTCGAGCCCCGCGTCGGGCTCTGGGCTGATGGCTCAGAGCCTGGAGCCTGTTTCCGATTCTGTGTCTCCCTCTCTCTCTGCCCCTCCCCCGTTCATGCTCTGTCTCTCTCTGTCCCAAAAATAAATAAATGTTGAAAAAAAAAAAAATTTTTAAATACACACTTCTTTGTAGAAGTAAATCAACTGAATCGACAGGGATCCCTTCCCTGCAGTGAAAATAATAATGTTAATATATTAATATATGATTAAAACTTACAAAGGTCATCAAAACCAAAACAGGGCTTATATTTTCACAAATACCTGGATTTTTCTGTTAAAACATTTAATAAGATATTATCTATCATAGTAGATAATTCAGCACCAGGAAGATTATCACTGTTGCCTTGTCCAAGCTAGTTTATTATAGTATTTAAGCACCTAAAAAGAGCATGCCAGGCCAGTTGTGGAAGACAAAGTAGTCTCCTTAAATAGTTACATGCAAATATTTGTATGTAAATTATATTTAAATATATACAACTCTAATTTACACACAGACATTTATACACTTAAATACTTAAATATCTGGGCGCCTGGGTGGCGTAGTCGGTTAAGCGTCCGACTTCAACCAGGTCATGATCTCACGGTCCGTGAGTTCGAGCCCCGCGTCGGGCTCTGGGCTGATGGCTCAGAGCCTGGAGCCTGTTTCCGATTCTGTGTCTCCCTCTCTCTGCCCCTCGCCCGTTCATGCTCTGTCTCTCTCTGTCCCAAAAATAAATAAACGTTGAAAAAAAAAAAAAAATTTTAAAAAATAAAAAATAAAAAATAAATATCTCTTTAAAAGGCCAATAATACTGCTGGAAAGGGCAGACAGAAGATATGACAAGATTAATTAAAAATGTAAATATAATTATTCAAGAAGACAACACGTAAGTCACAAAACATTACTTGTCTCAGTACCGAAGGAATCCTACACGTGATAATTACTCCAGAGGAGTTTTAAGGATCCAAGTAGTAACTTCAGATTTAAGAGTTAGAAACATTTTGGAGAACGTAAGTTATGAACTAGATTTGGGAAGATGAGTTGGTTTTCTTTTGTCTAAGTGAACTATATACAGAGATGAGAAAGGCCAACAAGGGGGCAGAGGAGCAAACTGCTGTAGATAAGTTTGTCCCAGAGAGGGGATTTGGAAGAAAAAAAGAAAAAAAGAAAAAATAAATAAAGAAAAATAAAAAAGGCTTGAAAGGCAGGAAGTGCAAGGAGCCAGGTAGAGTTGGATTTTTTCTGTGGGTAATGGGAACTCCTTGAAGGGGAAGTGACATGGTTAAAATTTTAAGTGACAGGTTGGGTCTGAAGGAAGAGATGAGAAAAAGCAAATGTAGGGGCACTTGGGTGGCTCAGTCAGTTAAGCATTAGACTCGACTTTGACTCATGTCATGATCTTACAGTTTGTGAGTTTGAGCCCCAAGTTGGGCTCCGCACTGACAGAGCACTTAACAGAATGAGCCACCCAGGCACCCCTACGTAAGACACTTTTGTAGCAGTTCCAGCAGAAGGCAAAGAAGGCCTCACTTAGGGTGAAAGAATAAAAACGGAAAGGACAAGCCCATATACAAGAGAAAAAAATTGGTAAAGCTTGGTGACTGATTAGATATGGAAGATGGGGCAGGGGAAAGGAAGTGAAAGGAGTTCTAACTATTAAGACTGCTTGTATCACAAAGATATCTCCTCAGAAGTGAGTTTGGGGGCAAGTGAAAACTTGTCTGTATTGTATAAGGGGGCCTTACTCTTTTTTTTGTTTTTAGTATTTATTTTTGAGAGAGAGAGCAAGAGAGAGCTAGCGCACGGGAGGTGGGGAGGAGGGAGGGGCAGAGAGAGGGAGACACCGGGAAATCGCAGGCTCCAGGCTCTGAGCTGTCAGTACAGAGTTCCACGCTGGGCCTGAACTCACAGAACCAGGAGACCATGACCTGAGCTGACGTCAGGCGCTTAAGTCACTGAGCCACCCAGGTGCCCCAGGAGACCTTAGTCTTAACAAGGAGAAAGTAATAGAAAAATACAAGACTGGTTTAGGTTGTAAGAGAAGAAATCAAAATAAAAGCAGATTTATCTGGACTCAACTGAAACTTGCTTTAAGTATCCTCAAAGAGAAGGTTCCCAAATGTGTGTCTATTGTCACCACTCAAGAAATTAAGAAACATTCTTGTGAATGTTAAGACTGAATTCCCTTGCCTTTACCTTGCTCTTGAACCCTTTCTGTTCAACAGCCCACCATGATAAAATCACCTACAGAAAGTAAAGCCTCAAACTAGAGACATGTAGAAGTATAGTTATTAATTCAAATATAATCAGGTATTCACAGCAGCCTTTTTCCTACCCTGACTAGCTCCCTTCCTCCATCTCAGCTGTGAAAGACAATCCGTCTCACCTAGTTGGGCTTTAGGTGTAACTTCTCAAATTCAGGTACAAACTGGTTTCTACCAAAACTCTTGAACTGTGGTTTGCTTCTTCCCTAGATCACCCCAAGTTAGCTCTCTGGTAAATTTCCTTTCCTAGGCTCTGTCTATCCAAATAAATTCTCTTTGGCCAAAGCGGCCAGATTTTAGTTGGGTCTTATCTAAGTGACCAGCTTTGCTTATCTTGTATACTTTCCCTATAGATCCTTCTACCAAGATCAATTCTTTCTTCCAGATCCTTCAGTATTTTTTTTTAAATACGGTATCCTAGATCACTAATCACATGTTAATTAGAACATTAGCATTTCTAAAGTGCCCTACAACTTTTTAATTAGAAAGCACACAATAAATTATAAAGGAAGGCGTTTCCTCGACAACCCACCCAAGAAGGAAGAATTTCAAAATAGTGCAGCCTTATTTTGAGGCAGTCTTATCTGAATTTACTTGCACAATAAGAACCATAAAAAACACCAAAGAGAGCCAGCAGTACAATGATTTCCATAGACAGTATGTCAATATCAAGCACTTGCTAGCTGTTGGCTAACTCCCTGCAATAAAGCAAAAATTCTTTTACTTTCAATCAATCATAAAGTGATTTTGATTTATTAGAAGAGGTAAAAGATAGGAAATATGTTTTGCTGAGAAGTGAACACAGAATACTTAAAGGGAGTGAGTTTGAAGCCAAAAGGGAAAAAAGGATCGCTCAAGCATGAAGAGTCACTGGTTATCTCAAATTTTTGACAACAGGCTTTGTCCACCATATACACCAACCCTCTCCCCAAAATCCATAACACCAAATACAACATCTAAATGCTACTGTCCCATAACTGTTTATATAATGCTTCGTAATTGTATGGTTTTGTCTCCTAACCAGGTTGTAAGCTCAAAGCAGGGAGAATACCTATCATTGTACCTATTAGGGCTCGACCCTCAATAGATAGAAAACAGTTCAGATTATTAAAACAATTCTTGATTCAAATCCTACTACTCACTGAAGGTGAGGTTAGAAGACATAGGAAATAATATGCTTTTATATTTGCCTACAATTTATTATTCAACTGTTGAACATACTGAGATTTATTTTAAAAAGCGATTTTTTTTTAATTTTTAAAATTTTTTTTTAACGTTTATGTATTTTTGAGACAGAGAGAGACAGAGCATGAATGGGGGAGGGTCAGAGAGAGAGGGAGACACAGAATCCAAAACTGGCTCCAGGCTCTGAGCTGTCAGAACAGAGCCTGATGCGGAGCTCGAACTCACCGACCGTGAGATCATGACCTGAGCCGAAGTCGGACGCTCAACCGACTGAGCCACCCAGGCGCCCCTAAAAAGCGATTTTTTTAAGCATTTTTTTTAATGTTTATTTACTTTTGAAAGAGAGACAGAGCATGAGCGGAGGAAGGGCACAGAGAGAGAGAAAGAGACACACACACATAGAATCCGAAGCAGGCTCCAGGCTCTGAGCTATCAGCAAAGGGCCCAACGCAGGGCTCAAACTCACAGACCGCGAGATCATGACCTGAGCCGAAGTCGGACATTCAACTGACTAAGCCACACAAGTGCCCCTTAAAAAGCGATTCTTAACAAAGATTACAAAAAATACTCACGAGGTATCTATGCCAAAGGTGTCCGCTGTGAACCATTTTGTACATATGCCACACTGCAGCTCTACCTCTCCTAACTGTCGGCCATTCTCTTCATCCACGGAGCCCGCCTGAGTATCCATCACCTCTGAAGTGTCCCCAGCACCTTCCTGTGTCCACACAGCAATTAGAGAATCAGGTCAGTTGATCCTATTGTATTTAACTCACTTAAAAACTTAAAACAAACAAACAAAAAACAGAACCTATTTTGCCTTGCATACATCCAAAAAGAAATACTTACTAGTGTATCTTTTCCATTAGAAGATTCAGTCTCCAAACCACCACCTACATCAACTGAATTTGCATCCCTACAAGATAGTGAAAGTACTCAAGTGAGAATCTTCAAGGGAAACAAACCTCAAAACGCCTATGCCTAAGGATAATGATCAAAGTACAGGTGAACTTCACACTCCTACAGCTTTTTCAGCTAAGCCTATTCTCTCAGCCTGGGTGCCCAGGGTTAGGAAGAATATGACCAAGACAGACGCAGGCCCATAGGGCAGAGGGAAGCCTAATCTGTCCTTACTGACAAATCTACAGGAGATGGAATTAGTCCTGGGGGAGGTTCGCCTAGATGCAGCTCTCCCACTCTTGTTTTCAGAGGAACCGTTACTTCTTCCGGTCCGGCAATGCAAAGTGGTTTCTCCTCTGGGATATCTGAGGAGTTCCTGCTATAAGAGTGAGCTACCAGACCTCTCAGGAGCCTGAGAGAGAACAAGAACCTTGACTCTCAGGACCCGCGAAAGGTACGGAAAGGGGCGTAGTTACAGACACAGTTCAGAGGGGAGGGAGAAGGGGACGGGCCAAGCGGCGGGCGGGACTACAGTCCTGGAAGGGGGGTGGGGGTGGGGGGGCGCAGGGTGAGCCGTTGGCTGCAGGGCCTA